TATTACCTATTGATACTCACCATCCTTCCTTAATTCTGTCGCTACCTGATCCACTTGACTGGCCATCTCACCCAGCTTGCAGCGTGGATAGAGCAGGGCTTCTAGACTTCAAGAAAATTGATTATGTCTCATTACTGCAGTATCTTTTTGATCAAGACTGGGCCGATGTGTTTGAATGCATTGATGTTGATGAAATGACTGTGCGTTTCTGTAGCATTATTCAACATTGGTTGGAATCAAATGTTCCTCTCAAAAGACGACCAATTTCCCCAGCTTGGAGTACTCATCAGCTTAGAGTGCTGAAGCGTGAGCGTAACGCAGTCCAGAGAAAACTGCGTCGTCACAGAATAGCTGACACGAAGCGTGCCAGTATGGCTTACATTAAACTTAACAGTGCCTTGTACAAATCACACGTCCTCAGAGTCCAGTGGAGCTTTGTTATCAGCAAAAGGAAAGATTCGAGTATACCGTCCAACATGCTACTCGATGGGAAAGAGTTCACTTCTCTTAGCGAAGCGTGTGAGATGTTTGCTAAACAATTTGCATTTGTCTTCGATAAAAATATGACAAGTGACGTTGAAGCTGAATCTGCTGTCTCTGATATGCCTAGTGACTTAGTAGAACTGAGCACATTCGAAGTAACTCGGGATATGGTACTTTCAGCAGCAAGGAGACTGAAAACCTCACTCTCTCCTGGTCCAGATGGAATTCCGGCAGTGGGGTTCTGCTGTTGCTGAGCTGCCTTTGGAGCCAGCCATATTTAATGCATCAAGGAAAATTCCCAACATTGTGGAAGCAGTCGTATATGTTTCCTTGGTTGGACGAACTCTTCGAGTACGACTAGGATCTTGTCTCTTCTACGTTTACCAGCACCTCTGAAGTACCTCAGGAAAGTAACCTGGGTCCACTTTTGTTTACGTTATTCTTCAACGATGTAGCAGCTTTGTTGGGAGTTAAGTGCAAGCTCGTTTATGCAGATGATCTTAAGCTATACGTCATAGTTCACTCGATTGAGGATTGTCATCGTCTTCAAGCTCTGCTATATTTGTTTGTGGATTGCTGCCGTCGTAATAAGCTCATCATCAGCGTTCCGATTCGGAAGTGTACAGTGATGACGTTTCACCACTCTAAGAGTTCAATCCTTTACGACTACTGCATAGACAATGTAACGCTTCGCAGAGTAGAAGTTATGACTGATCTTGGTGTCCAAAAGTTGACCTTTAATCTTCACTATTCCTCGATCATCTCATCTCTAAGGCGAATCGTCAACTGGGATTTATTTCGAATATTGCACGAGATTTCAAAGACCCTCACTGCTTGAAGGCACTATATTGCTCTTTAGTTCGGCCCATACTTGAGAATGCATCTGTGGTCTGGGCTCCATATGAGCTAGTGTGGAATCTCCGAATAGAACACGTTCAGAAAAGATTTTGGAGGTTGGCAGCCTGCCGTGGCGCAATCCAATGGATTTATCACCTTATGCAGACCTGGACACATTAGAACACAGAAGAAAAATGCAACAAGCATTATTTGTAGCGAAACTTTTAAATGGCGATGTGGACTGCCCTCAACTGCTTTCACAATTAAACTTCCGTGTTCCTCAAAGGATGTTGCGGCAATCATTCTTACTACAACCAAGATTCCATCGGACTACATATGGATACCATGAGCCAATGTTTGCGATGATTCGGGCATTCTCCACTGTGGAAGAAGCATTTGAATTCGGAGAAACATCGAACCAATTCCGAAACCGATAGAGAAGATTGTGATTATTTTTGTAATCTGTTTATCTGTTGCTTTTTTGTGTATTATCTAAGTTCTATTCATTAAGACAACTACTGTCAGATGAATTACAATAAATAAATAAATAAATAAACATACAACAATTTTGAGATCCATTGATGATTTTTTTTTTTAATATTCACGTTTGACATTTTTTTGAATTTACTATTTCTAAAATCTTGTAATTTTGTGTTAGTAAATCATGAGACTTCATGGACGTGTATTAACGTTTGAATTCAAGGAATTTATTTAAAAAATGTGTGTCGGAGATGTCTATTTTTTATTTTAAAATCTTGATAAAATATTTGTCTAGGATCTCCATTTTTCCATACAAATATCTAAATTTTCATGGTAAGAGATCTCCATAATTATTCTTCATCCGTTACCCAGTCAGAAGTTTAAAAAAAAATCCTAATTCAAGAATTTTCATAATTTTCTAACTCAGATATCTTGATAATGTATCTATGTTCAAGGTCTTTAAATTCGTGGGATCCAGACACTTAGTGCGTTCATTATAAAAAAAACTAAAAAAAGATCATAGTGGGTTCTTAGCTGATAAAACTTCTAAAAGCGCAACGATATCAGCGACATGGGGGATGTTTCTCAGAGTCTTAAACTATGTTAATCATAGATCGAGTTTCCACTTGCTGCAATTACACACGCAATTCCACACGCTTCCGGAATGCACGGCAGGTTCTAATAATGTAGTCTGGATCCATTTCTCTCCAGGTACGGGTCAATGTTTGTCTGAGGCTTGCTCTACTCGGGTGGCGTTTAGAACAGGCCTTCATGACGCGCCATATTGAGTAATCCAGCGGATTCAGATCGAGGCTAGATGGCGGCCACATATCCTTCGCCCAGAACGGAAGATGTTCCTGTAACCACTTCTGAGTGCGGTTCGAGGTGAAATACAACATTTGACTTCGGACCGTACTGTTCTTTGATCCACGGAAGAACATACTTACTTAAAATCCCGATGTAGACCTCCGTTTTGACCTTTTCGCCTTCTGGAATGAACACCGGGTCTTTTTTTTTGCCATCGGAAGCCACCAATCCAAACACCATAACACTAGCAGGATGCATGGTCAGATACACGTTCTTGTGCTCGTCGGTCACGTCTTTTACCGGAAGAGAACTAATATACCGGTCGGTTCTGGAATTTGATACGGGATCGACGGTAAACATGCTCTCGTCGGTGAACAGGATTACCGGATTTTTTCGCTTAAGGAAGTTCAAGATTTTCTTGCATCGTTCGACTCGTAGCTCCCGGATGCGGTTGGTAATCATGTGAGTTTTTTTTCCGTGCCCTCGACTTCGCCCCGCAATCTTCCTTTACGATCTTCCGTGCCGTAAAGTCACTGATCCCGTGTTCCTTTGCCATTTTCCTTATTGAACGCACTGGATTAACCCGAATCTTTCTTTTGATAGCAGCGATAACCCTCGGAACTCGGGCTGACCTTGGACGACCTGTGGCCACCTTCGCGGATAGTTGTCCTTTCTTTTCTCCGTCTAAAACCCTTTTGACGGTCCACCGGGACACTCCCACGGCGATTAAAATGTCTTTTTGCGACATTTGCGCGTGGGACAAATCACGAATACGCTGCCACTTCGTCATGGTGCAACTGTCAAACTAAGTAAATCATTTTCTTTTATACACAGCCTACTACTGTAGCTCGGTTACGTGCATGCAAAGAAAACCAAGTCATTATATGCACAGGTGAAACGGGAACCTTATTTCTACGATGGTGCAAACATTATCACACATACGGCAAATGACTCATTACAATATTATGAACTTATGATTTGATTTAGCACTTGCTCAAAATTAGGAAGCTCTTTCGGCTACATCGGCTCCATCTAAATTTAATCGTAAATCATTACAAGCTTGTTTTGGAATTCATCAACATATTTTATTCGACTTCTTCTGATAAATTGCTTGGCCATACAATTTCCAATTAAATTTTGACCACATGAAATTTGTTCTTATCAGAGTTTCTTTTTTATCAAAGACTTTAACATAGAAAACGTTTGGTTCTCAACTTAATCAAAATTTCTCAGACAGTTTCACAAATTCATACAATTTAAAAAGCTGCGCTTTGAAATGTGTAGAAGGTCTCATCAAATCGATTCGTCATTTGGCGTGGAACTGCACACTCATAGGATTATGTGTGCACATTGACCTGTAAACAGTGTAAACCGTAGCCTCAAATGTAGTAAATTGAAGGTCCCATGCAAAGGCAACCAAGAAAAATCTCACCCATGTCACACACTCACAAGTACTACCCTTTGACCAACACAGAATCCCTAGCAGATCCAAGAAACCTTCAAAGACCACCCGTCAGCCATTCATCATTTCTGCCAAACAACATTTCGGGCAACTCAATTGAACGGATAAACTTTTCTGTTTGAAATCTATACACCAGCACCACCACACATCGCTCTGTGCAAGCGAAAGCCATTCGCCACGTGCTACCCCCAAAACGATAAGGTGTTACTCAAACCCTCCCCCCATATCGTCGGTTCCATTCGGACAACTTTGGAATAAGTGAAAAACTTTTCCCACCCGCCCGGGCATTCAGGCAAACCTAGGTCTTAACGAAAAAAAAAAGTGCGCAAAAAGTAAAATGGATTCGTTTCGGGAGAGTTGAAAATTGAGCCACTTCTTTCAACTTTAACTGCAAACCACTTGAACTGGTGTCGAAACCGAATTGAGTTGAGAGAGCAGTGCTTGCAGCCTCCGCGATTAATAAAAGTGTTGAGCAAATGTTTACTTTTGCTGCTTGCTTTTTTTTTCCTACGATTCGACGAGCGAAACTCAAAAGTCACGTTTTTGGAACGACTTCTCCCGTTTGCTGGTTAAAATACTTGAAGAGGGTTAAATGTTGGAAATGTGCAGCTATCGGACAGGAACGTGAAGTGAATGAGGATCTACTTTCTCGAGTGATTTCGTTTTCGTGGTTGATTTTTTTTTGCTATATTAAATTATGGAAATGCTTCGGATTACACTCAGGAGGCGTCGGTTGCTATGCACCCCTCAGGATGAGAAAAGTTTTAAATGAAAGCTCAAACTTTGTAACCGACCGGAGGCATGGTATTAGTTACAGCAAGGATCACCTCAGGATTAACCTCACCCGCACCCTCTCTTTTCTAGGTTAAGTACATCTTTATTCAGATGATCCCCCCCACCCCAGAAGGACAAAGTTCAATCAGCTAATTACCATCAGAATGTCCGTCTCACCGCATTCGTTCGGTTCCAGCTTGGAGGGTAGTCGAAACTCGGAGAAAACAATCTGGAACATGACAGCAGCGAGAGAGGAAAAAATGGCAGATTAGTGAAGGGAGAAAAAAAATGGTCTTTTCATTCGTGATGCTTTTACCTACCTGGATTCGCTCGGCTCCTTCGCCAATAAACTCGTACTGGTAGCAGATGGCCGACGGGAAGAATCCCGAGTGCTTCGAGTTGGACGGTGCAATGCTGCCGTTTCGTATGCGGCCAGATCCGTACACAGTCCGAGTGCAATGGGATGGACCTGAAACGGAAAGGACGAACGGGAAACATACGATCAGACCGGAGGGATTTTTGTGGTTCCCTTAAAGGCAAGTTTTCGGACTTTTTGGGGAATCTCGGGCTAATCCCTTGAATAAGAGATAATTCCCTTTGCAATGGCTTTTCTTGGATACAAGTTTTCAACTAAATAGTTGAAGCAACGGAAAGGATTCTGTGGAAAGCTGAGCGGTTTATGGGTAGAAACTTTGCAAAGATTAGATAATTTAATTAAAGTGTGGGGTAGAAAACCATTTTCAATTTCGGTGGTCTTCTGCTGCCACTGATTGCCATCTTGTGCGAGCTTAGTTGGCTTTGCACTTTTCGTGATGGCGGCATACATAGTTGGCTTTGGCAAACAGGAGACGACCGAGAGACGTAGCAAGCTGCTATGAGTAGCCGACAATGTGACTAATTAAAATAGCGCAAACTTTGTGTTGAGTTTGTATTACAGTCTGTCATTGTTTACAAACAGCGGATGGGAAAAGGGAAAGTGGAGAACTGTTCGGTGGAAAGTATTCTATTTACGGTTCTAGAGTTGCTGAGACGGAGATGGAAATGTCCTATTTGGAAGTCAAATGTCACAGTTACCCGCGTCACGCGGAAAATATTTTCGTTTCAAAATCCCAACCTTCAAACATTTTAAACTGACAGTCTTGAACTGGTCACTCAACTTCCGAAATATGAAATACTTGACAAGGTTTTTTGATCTTTGTTGTGTTGTATTTTACTTGCAAAAATACTCATAGTTGCTTCAACATCCAATTCACACAAACACATCAGTCAATCCTTTAGAAAAAAGTCTCTTTCATGACCATTCTTTCGAATGATGATCCCGTCAAAAGTCAATCCTACTGTTGTGTAAGTGCGTAAAATTTTCTTTTTGTTGCTGAAATTAATCTCGTTTCTCAAGGTCCCTTCAACCGATCCACCTTCAGTGAAATCCACATCACAAAAACGCGTGTATCCCAAGCTCGGGTTTGATTGATTTTCCCACAGAAACCACTCCGACAGAAACGCGGCTTATCAAGCTCTAAAAATAAGCCGTTTGTTTATTGTGAGCCTTCCTTCAAATTGAATTTGTTCGTCACACGTTTATTGCCGCACCCGCTCAGGTTCGATCGTTAAACATTTTTGCTAGAATGAAACAAGGACTTGGCTATTTTTACTCGGGTTTTGCAATAGTTATAATTATCAAACCCATTTGACAACAACAAAAACAACTCGGTTGCCGTGATTCCTATCGGATCTTAGCGGCTGAGCTGCAAAGTGAAGGTTTTCGACGAGTTTTGCTCCTCAGACTTGCAGAGACTTGTCGAAGCCTACTACGATACGGCGGTGGATATTTTTACGGTTGAGTAATCATATCATTGACATCATCATCATTATCATTATCATCATCATCACCAATGGTGTTGGTGGTGGTGGTGGTGGTTCATTGTTTTAGGGAGAGAACTTTGGGTCATGCGTCATCGACCGAAAGACAGCGCGGTTTTTTGGCAGGATGCTTACGAGCGCTTTCGATTTCTATTTACGGTCAAACAGAGGAACAGAGTCATGCGTTTCGTGGCTGTCCGGCATCCAACGTGACGTGGTTGCTGTGTTTTTTCCGAATTTGCTTTGTTGTCTTGAAATAAGTCAGATCTATTTGTAGTTATTTGCTATGAAAGGAATATGGTGAAGAATTTAAACAACAACATTCTGATTTAAAATCATCTTAATCTAGAAAACTTTTTGACGTAGAACTACGTCTGTGATTTCTATATCGGGGTACACTTTGTGAAAATCGAAAATGGAACATGTAACGAAATTATGAAAGATTTGGAACGTTAATAACTCAGCTGCCCCTGGACCAATTTCAATAATTTAATCATCAATCGATCAGAAATATTCCTATGCATCTGCTAAATTTAAGACTTAATTATTTAAAAAAAAATTACTATTGAAATATTGCACGAATGTGCAACTGTTGCTATGTTAATTAAAATTATCACCGATTGCCTGCGAAAAGCGATTTTTCTAACACAGATTTCAAAGGTGAATTCCAGCTTGTCTCACCAAACGGTGTTTCTTCAATCACCAGGTGGTGAGTGGTGGTGTTCTCCGGTACACAACGAAAGGCTGCCTGCAGGCAACGAGCTGCAGCCCACATGAGCATTCATAGAAGGAGGAAGAAGCTGCACCGCTATTGATCGGAATCAGTAGCTCTTCGTGAGTCTCTGTGGGCCATCTATGTCAAGCGTGTCATACTATAGAGTATAAACAGAGAGAACCCCGCTCAAGTTCCTATTCCTACACCAAACACAAGCTCCTGATGCAGTTAACAAATAATATTTATTATATAAGACCACGTAGTCCTACGTCATCATTGCGTAAAACCCCATGGGGCTGTCCCTTGTAGTTTTTTATGTCTGAAACCCTCTCCCTCCACCATAAAAAAATATTAAAAGTTAACGTTCTTCTCCATCGATCTACAACTTTTCGAGTTCTAGATTACTTGATCAATTTCTAAATACAATCCCTCTCTTTGCAATAATTGGCCTAAAAGCCGAGTGCTTCAGACAAATTATGGATTCCGAAAGAAAGAGAACAATTACAATTCTGAGACCTTAAAAACTGCCGATTTCGGACAAAAAACTACAATCTGAAATGTCACTGCCAGAAGTTACTTATTTCTCAGAATTAGAGGATATTTCGCTAGCTAGTCAGACTCTTTTGGTAGTCACTGCTAGGCACCACTAAGTTTATATGAGAATCTGAACATTATTGCGGTGGGGGGATATGTGCAAAAGTGCTTGCCCACCACACTCCCACTCCATAAGTTGGTGCCTATGAGCAAATGGTAGATACATAGTTTCATAATTTTCTCATTACGCCGTGCTAAAGGCTGATTAAAGGTAAATAGGTGCGCACAAAAAGACCTGTAATTCGTGATCAATAAGTTAAAAAAAGTCCATTAATTATTGCTTTAAAGTACTTTTGATTAAAACTTCAAAGTAACAGCATTAGATGGTTACATTTCTCCAGTTCGAACGAAATCTCGAACCTTCCTCTGGATGGAGCCCATCAGCGCCCGCACAGTGGAAACGGACACGGAATCAACGCATTTCTTCCATTTTTCTCGCATTTGCTGGATGTCCTTAACTACCCACCGCTTCGTCAAAGTCGCTGCTTTGAAATTGCCCAGTATTTTTCGATTGGTCGAAATTCCCGTCAATTCGGAGGATTCATTAGATTGGCGACTAAATCGATCTTGTTGGCAGCATACCAGTCCAGAACCTTCTTGGATTAGTGACAGCTGGCCAAATCGGGCCAAAAGATGACTTTGCCCCTATGCTTGCGGATGAACGGCTATATACGCTTTTTCAGGGATTCTTCGATGTAAACTTGCGATGTCATCGTCGAGGATGTGACGAATAGTTCCGTTTGCAGGCTACAACTGCAAATCGCTTATCAAATCATGGCCTTCTTCGCGAACTTGTCGGCAAACACGAACTTGAATCTTTCCGGCACATCCCCACGTCCAGTCACGATGTAAAACTTTTGACCGGGAAGCTGCTTAAAATCGAGTTTGACGTATGTTTCGTCATCGATCAAAGTGCAGCCCTTGTGTTTCTCGTCAAAACACGGTCGTACAAGAGCCTTGCACGCTTTTTCGCATCGGAATTCTGATTCATGTGCCGGTTCAGATGTTAACTGGCTTTGTACAAATTGTATCCTTCCCTGGCAAGGATGTTCCACACCGTTTGAAAGTTGGCATTGTACCTTCTGGCCACATTTCGGATCGAAAGACCGGGGTTGGCTTTAACGCACCTCAACAACTTGCTGCGCAGCTGATGATCCCTGGTTCCAGTTTTTTCGTAGGTCCACTGATTCCACACTCAGGGTTTCCTTGCAGGTTTTGAGCACTCGACAAACTGTTATTTTCGGCATCTTCAGCACTTTAGCCAGCTTGGAACCGGACCACTCCGGATTTTCAAGGTGTTTGTGCACAATATTTTTTTTCTTCTTTCGAGTTCCATTTGACGTTATTTCTGAACGCGATCGACTACTTTGATCCAACTTGCACCAGTTGTTCTCCATAAAAGTGTAAACAAACCACTTTCAAAGATTTTCGATTCTGTCTGTCTGTCTGACCCTTATAGATTTGTAAACTACTGAACCGATCGGCGTGAAAATTTGTATTCAGGGGTTTTTGGGGTCGGAAAAGGTTCTTAGACCCCTCGCCCATCTTTAAGGTGGGGGGCTCCCATACAAATGAAACAGAAAAATATAGCATGCTGTTTTGAATCGGCGCATAAACTCAAGCTAATATTGAATCCCGAGCAACCCGGTTCACTGGTCACCCTGTGTCCAGTATACAATAGGTTTTATCCATCTGAATAACATTACTAGAGATAGCAATCTTCTATCTAGTCGAAACACAGAAAACGAAACTAACTCAGAGAGTGAGTAACTTTTGCTCATTCGTAAGGATACATTTCTAAAAGCGTTGGTCACTCAGCACATAAGCAGCCAACGTAAAATTGACTCACACTCTGAATAAGATTAGTTTTTTTTTAGTCAAATGTTACTAGCGTTGCATGGTGAGTAAATTCTGAACTAAGAGGCCAATCATGCGATAGGTATTGTCCATCCGAATAACTTCACTGAATACAGAAACCTGCTTTCTGGCCGTGCTGTCAATTTAAAACATGGAATTTGATGCAAATTGCACACTGAGCTTGACTATCCAATATCCAATTTCTAGCAGAAACGGCAAGCTTAATACATTGAATACGAATATTACTCAGATAATGAGTCTCTTTTACTGCTTCGTATTGATATTATTATTTTTAAATCGTAGGTTACTCATGCGTTGAATAATCTACACTTTAAGAAAAAAAAATCATACGAAAGAGTAAAAGTTATTCACTCTCTAAGCTAGTTTCGTTTCCAGTGCGCAACGCAACGAACACCCCTGTTTATCACTCGGCAGCCAAACGA